CCCTGCAGCTGGGAGCCTCAACTTGGGGAAACCTAGGCTGCTGCTGCTGTTTCCTGTTCTGTTTGTCCCCATCCTGTTTCTTCTGTGAGCAACAAGCACATGTTGACCACGCCATTAGATGTGTCTGGTCTGTGCTCTGTTCCAAATGATCCTTCATAAGAATTTGTGAATCTGAGTACATGACATTAGGAGAAAGATGAAGCAGTCAGCTTTCATAGAGATTGACAGCCTTGGAAACCCTGTGGGGCAGTTCCACTCTGTCCTCTAGGGGCGCTGTGAGTCAGAATCAACTCCATGGCAGTAGGTTTGGTTTGGGTTTTGCTTCTGTAAAGATTGACAGCCTTGGAAACCCTGTGGTGCAGTTCTACTCTGTCCTCTAGGGGCGCTGTGAGTCAGAACTGCCTCCACGGCAGTGGGCGTGGTTTGGACTTTGCTTCTATAAAGACTTACAGCCTTGAACACTCTACAAGGCACTTTTACTCTGTCCTATAGGGTTGCTATGACTGGGAATCACATACATGACAGTGGGTTGGGTTGGACTTAACAACCCTAACAATCTTTTGAGACAGATGCTATTAATATCCTTATTTTACAGATGATAGAGCTGAGACAGAGTAGTTAAGTAACTTGGCTTAGGGGATGCAGCTGGTGAAGTTGTTGTTGATGTTAGGTGCCGTGGAGATAGTTCTGACTCATAGCAACCCATGTACAACAGAACAAAACACTGCCTGACCTCGCTCCATCCTCACTAGCATTGCTTTGCTCAAGCTAATTGTTGCAGCCACTGTATCAACAACCCATCTCATTGACAGTCTTCTTTTTCACTGATGCTCTACTTTATCAAGCATGATGTCCTTCTCCAGGGACTGGTCCCACTGATAACATGTCCACAGTCTGTGAGAAGTCTTGCCATCCTCACTTCTAAGGAGTATTCCAGCTGTACTTCTTTCACGACAGATCTGTTCGTTCTGCTGGTGGTCTGTGGTATATTCAATCTTTTGCCAACACCATAATTCAAAGGCACTGGTTTTCCTTATTCATTGTCCAGCTTTCACATGCATATAAGGTGATTGAAAATACCATGGCTTGGTTCAGGCCCATCATAGTCCATAAGGTAACATGTTTGCTATTTAGCAACATCATGAGAAATGGACAGAAGATTGAAACCATCAAGGATTTCATTTTACAATTAACATCCATGACGCAGCAGTCAAACTGTCAAACGACATACTGCATTGGGCAAATCTGCTGTAAAAGACCTCGTTAAAGTGTTAAAGGGAAAAGATGTCACTTTGAGGACTAAGGGGTGCCTGGCCCCAGCTGGTTAAGTAGAGGAGCTGATTAACCCAGGTGATCTAGCTCTGGAGTGTACGTATGGTCTGAGGCTTCCACGCTAAGCTCTAAATTTCTCGTTCCAAGGTAGGTAATTGCAGGGCAGTGAATTGCTTAATGTGGCCCGTCTTGCCATCATCCTCCATTGTGTGATGTATTGTGATTTACTGATGTCACTTTGAAGACAAGGTGCCCCTAACCCAAGCCATGGTGTTTCCACCCACCTACTATGCCTGTGCGAGCCAGACAATGAAAAAGGAAGACCGAAGAAAAGCTGATGCTAGTGAGTTGTGGTGCTGGCAAAGAATACTGAAAACACCATGGGCTGCCGGAAGAACTAACAAGTCTGTCCTGGAGGAAGTGTACCCAGAATGCTCCTTGGAAGCAAGAATGGCCAGACTTCGTCTCACCTACTTTGGTCTTGTTGTCAGAAGGGACCATCCCCTGGAGAAGGATATCATGCTTGGTAAAGTGGAGGATCAGCAAAAAAGGGGAAAGCCCTCAACAAGGTAGATTGACACAGTGGTTGCAACGATGGGCTCAGGTATAGCAAGGATTGTGAAGCCGGCACAGGACTGGGCAGTGTTTTGTTCTGTTCTACATAGGGCTGCTATGAGTCAGAATTGACTCAACGGTACCTAATAATGTATATGATAATAAGCCATTGTCCTACATGTTGTGATGTATTGTAAATCCCAGTCTCTATGCCAATTTAAAGGAGCTCTGGTGGCATAGTGTCTAAGGCATTTGACTGCTAACCAGAAGGTTGGTTCAAACCCACCAGCCACTCCAAGGAAGTAAGACTGGGCAATCTACTTCTGTAAAGACTTACCACCTCAGAAACCCAAAGGGGGTCACAATGAGTCAGAATCGACTCGATGGCAGTGAGTTTGGTTTGGTTTTATGCCAGTTTAGGGTAGGTTGTGTCTTGAGTCCCACCTTGCTGGAGAGTGTGACTCAAGTCACCACCCTTAGCTTCTTTGAGGGTATATATGTGAGTGTTCTAGGAAGATTCACTCTCTTGCTCCAGTTCTGTGTTTGGTTCATCATTATCTCACCCCTGGACTTGAGACAGCAGCTGTCATCTGACCCACCAATTTGGGTTTGCCAGCCCCTGCAACCACTTGAGTTGGAGGAATCCTCCAGACCTGCCCACAGACCTGGGACTTGCCCGCCTCCCAGCCTCACCACCACGTGAGCTGTTTGCTCAGCAGTTTGTGAGTTCTGTGAGATGTTACAGTGAAAGGAAAATCACAGTGAACTTACAGTGAAGTAGGAGATTACTGAAGAGAGGAGGAGGAGTTGATGTCAGAGATGATGGAGTGGCCAACAGTTTGGAAAACTTGGGCATTTTGGACATCATTAACCTCCACCTCATAGGGAGCAGCCTTGTGCTCATCCTTCTACAAGAAATGATTCAAAGAGTAATATAGCCTCATGGCAACTTATATATATGTAAGTTATATAGATATGGATGCTCTACATAAGTTCCAAGAAGCCCTGGTCATTCAGTGGTAAATTAACCATTTTGGTTAATTTGGTTAATGGTTAAGCCATTAGCCAAGAGGTTGGAAGTCTGAAACCCCCAGCGACTCCATAGGAGAAAGCAGTGGCAGACTGCTTCTGTAAAGATGACCTTGGAACCCTTGGGGGGAGGGGGTTCTACTCCATCACATGGGGTTGCCATGAGTCAGAATCGAGCTGATGGCATTGAGTTTGGTAATGAACACTTCAGCGCTGCTGTTTTGCTACTGCCTGCTGTCAGTTCAACTTGTAGTGACCCCATGTGACAGAGTAGAACTGCTTCATAGGGTTTTCTTGGTTGTAATCTTAATGGAAGCACATTGCCAGTTCTTTCTCCCATGGAGCCTCTGGGTGGGTTAGAACTGCCAGTCTTGCCGTTAACAGTCAAACTCTTTGCACCACCAAGGCTCCTAATACAGGCATGTTGTTGTTGTTGTTACATGCCATCAAGTCAGACCGGACTCATAGCAACCCTTCCTTGGGTTTCCGAGGCAGTATCACTGTGGAAGTAGATTGCCCAACCTTCCTTCTAAGAAGTGGCTGGTGGGTTTGAACCTCCAGCCTTCTGGTTAGCAGTCAAATGCCTTAGGCACTGCACCACCAGAGCTCCTAATACAGGCATAACCAAACCAAAAACCAAACCCACTGCCATTGAGTCGATTCTGACTCATCGCGACCCCATTGAGTTTCCAAGGCGGTACATCTTTATGGAAGCAGGCAGTCTCACCTTTCTCCCATTTTATTGCACTTCACTTTACTGCACTTCGCAGGTATTGTATTTTTTTACAAATTGAAGATTTGTGACAAGGCTGCATCAAGCAAATCTATCAGCATCATTTTTCCAACAGCATGTGCTCACATTGTGTCTCTGTGTCATGTTCTGATAATTCTCACAATATTTAAAACTTTTTCATAGTGCTATTACATACTCATGTATTCATGAGGAACCTGTACATAGGCCAAGAGGGTGCTGTTCGAACCGAATAAAGGGATACTGCATGGTTTAAAATCAGGAAGGGTGTGTGTCAGCATTGTATCCTTTCACCATCTGTTGCAAAAGACCTCTTTAAAGTGCTGAAGATCAAAAATGCCTCCTTGAAAACTAAGATGTACCTAACCCAAGCCATGGTATTTTCAATTGCCTCATATGCATGTGAGAGCTGGATGATGAATAAGGAAGACCAAAGAAGAATTGATATTTTTGAGTTGTGGTAAAGAATTCTGAAAGTACTGTGGACTGCCAGAAGAACTAACAAATCTGTCCTGGAAGAAGTGCAGCCAGAGTGCTCCTTGGAAGTGAGGATGTCCAGACTTCATCTCACCTACTTTAGTCATGTTGTCAGAAGGGACCATTCTCTGGAGAAGGATGTCATGCTTGGTAAAGTGAAGGGTCAATGAAAAAGGGAAAGTCCCTCAATTAGATAGATTGATACAGTGGCTGCAACAATGGGCTCAAGTACAGTAGAGATCATAAGACTGGCACAGGACTGGGCAGTATTTCATTCTGTTATAAATAAGGTCACTATGAGTCAGGGATGACTCGATGGCACCTAACAACAACGATAGTATAAACATAACTTTTATTTGCACCGGGAAAGCAAAAATTGTGTGTGGCTGGCTTTAGTGTGATATTCACTTTACTATCATGGTCTAGAACAGAACTTGCAATATCTCATCGCCACATTTGGGACAAAATCACCTCTCCAGCGAGACTTGTGCTGTCTCTTCAGTGTGGTATGCCTTGCTCCCTATCACTCTCTGGCTCCTTACACTATTATATTGTTCTGTATGGTCCTTTGAATGGCATTTTGCTCTTGTGTCCCTGATGAAAACATAAGTGTTCTTGCTCCCTGAGAGGTTCCACCACGTTAGCACAGAGGCTGACACATACAGAGTCCTCCTTGAATTTTTGTTGCATGAACACCCATATAACAAGATGGCATCGTGGATCAGTGCACCAGTTTGTTGTTGTCAGGTGCCACTGAGTCAGCTCCGACTCATAGCAACCCCATGTACAACAGAACAAAACACTGCCCAGTCCTGTGCCATCCTGATAATCCTAGCTATGCTCATAATACCACCACTCGTCACTACTTTTGACTTGTTAATTCTAATTCACAGATGATGATGGATGCAAGAACTCTATGGCATGCCCATCCAAGTCCATTTGCAACAACATTGTGGGAGGCTACTTTTGCATCTGTAAACCTGGATATGTGTCGAGCAGTGGAGCAAACCAGTTCACTGACCCTACAGTGATCTGCACAGGTGAGTGTTATTTAGGTAAGAACTTTCTAGAAAAAGTGGGTATATATAATATACTCAGAGATTCAACCTAAATTCAACCTAAAGTGGGGTGGGGCAGGGAAGAACCAAGCTCTCCTGATCAAAATGGGGAGACGTGTGGAACAGAACAACAAATTCCCGTGGAATTCAGGCTTTCTGGAGCCAGTGAAACTTGATGAGCCCAGACTTTCTGGAGCTGTTAAAGCATAATGAACCAAAATAATTACTGTGAGATAATCTTTAAACTTTAAATCTTAAACTAACCTTAGCTTAATTAGTAAAGTATGCCTGCCCTGAGCATTGTGCTTTTTGAAAATTTGATCAGTGGGAGATCAAATTGACAACAGTGACTCGAAACATTAAAGGACAAGCTTAGGGGACAATGAGTTTAAGTTTAATGGTGGTAGAATAATTTGGAAAAGGACAGCAAGAATGGCTTCACACAGTGACCCAGAGGGAGCTCATGACCAAGGTCTCAGGGGACATCAAGCTCAATTGGCATAACATACTGCACAAAACCATTGTTCCATATCCTAATTTGGTGAGTAGCAACTGGGATCTTAAGAGCTTGCAAGCAGCCATCTGGATGCAACGATGGGTCTCTCCTCATCCAGAGCAAAGAAGAATGAAGAAAACCAAAGTTGCATAGAAACAATTAGTCCAAAGGACTGTACACCATGTGATCCTCAGCCTATATGACTATGAAACCAGAAGAACTAGATGGTGCCTGGCTACCACTGTCAACTACTTGGAGGGGGATCTATGTAGGAGATCCTGCACTGAGTGGGAACACAAGGTGGAACAAAACTCAAAATCATTTGAAAAAAAAAAGGGGGGGGGGACCAAGTTTGCTGGTCTGATAGAGCCTGGTGGAACCCCTGAGACTATGGCCCCTAGCTGCCCTTCAGGTCTGGAATTGAACCCACTCCTGTGGCTTCCAGCCAAACAAAAGACAGGCATATGAGCTGAACATTTACACTAGGTAGATACACTCCTTGGAGAGAACAATCATGGGAGAATAGAAGGGCTGTGTATGCACAGGGAGACAGCTCCAGGCGCAGGAGTACGTGGGAGGGAAGGACACAGGGAAGAGGTAACTGTGGGGAGGAAGTGGGAAGAGAGCTGTTGCATTGTGGGAAATTGCAGTCAATGTCATGAGACAAAGTGTATGTGAGTGGCTGTATGGAAAGTGAATTTGCTCTGTAAACTTTCACCCAAATCACAATAAAAAGAAAAAAAGAAAAAAAAAATTGCTGCATAACTTGAAGAATAGAACCAGTATCACTGAATTGTGCTTGGAGAAATTGTTGAAATGATGCATCTTTTGCTGTGCATATTTTCACCAAAATAAAAGTAGTAAAATAAATTAAAAGAAAAAACAGCAAATCAATAGGTCTAATACTGGAAACCTACATGTTTTACGTTTGAAAAAAATTTGTGACTATGGAAATTGGTCCTTACATTCTGTCACCAAAGGATCTTTTTTACCTGAATGGTATTCTTTTGGCCTCACTGATGAACTGCAAAAGAGAAATAGGGCTTTCAGGACCTGAGAAGCCCTGGTGGAACAATGGTTAAAGCACTGGACTGTTAACCAAAAGGTCAGGATTCAAACCTACCAGCCACTCTGTATATGAGAGGGAGAGAGATCTTTTCTCTTTCCATAAAGATTACAGCCTTGGAAGTCCTGTGGGGCAGTTCTACTCTGTCCTCTAGGTGTGCTGTGAGTCAGAATCGACTTGATAGCAGAAGGTTTGATTTGGGTTTTTGGCCAGGATTTATGCTCATAGCACTAAGTGGACAGGAAGGTTGGCCAGGGAGATGTGAAGAGGTTTGGCTCAGTTAGGAATATTTTTAAAATACCATATTATTGTGTTTTTGGTGAAGTTCTACACAGCGGTTTAGGTTCCCATCAACCATTTCCACACAAATTGTTCAGTGGCATTGGTTACATTGTTCACAATGCATGAACATTCTTATTAATTCCATTCTGGTGGTTCTGTTTCTATTAATCTAGTTTCCCTGCCCTCTCTTACCTTCTGATCTTTGTTTTAAAGCAATAGTTGACCATTTGGTCTCATACTGATTATTTTTTAAAGGAGGACAGTACTTATGGGTGGTATTCTTTATTTTGTGAGCCAGTCTGTTATGTAGCTAAAAGAAGACCTCAGGGGCTAGTTTTGGTTCTAGGTATAAAGAGTGCCTCAGAGCAATAGTCTCGGGATTCCTCCAGTTTTGAGCAGTCCAGTAAGTTGTCTGTTTTTTCTAAAGAATTTAAGATTCTGGTGGGCTCGGGACCGTAGTCTCAGGGGACATCAAGCACAATTGGCATAACATACTACACAAAACATTGTTCCACCTCCTACTTTGGCGAGTAGTGACTGGGATCTTAAAAGCTTGCAAGCAGGCATCTAGATGCAACGATGGGTCTCTCCTCATCCACAGCAAAGAAGAATGAAGAAAACCAAAGATTCATGGAAACAATTAGTCCTTGTGTCTAGTACACCATGCAATCCTCAGCCTATATGACTATGAGACCAGAAGAACTAGATGGTGCCCAGCTACCACTGTCAACCACTCGGAGGAGGATCTATGTAGGAGATCCTGGGTAGAGAGGGAAAACAATGTGGAACAAAACTCAAAATCATTAATTAAAAAAAAAAAAGGAGACAGGTTTGCTGGTCTGATAGAGCCTGGTGGAACCACTGAGACTATGGTCCCTAGCTGCCCTTCAGGTCTGGAATTGAATCCACACCTATCACTTCCAGCCAAAGAAAAGACAGGCATAAGAGTTGAACATGTCCCTGAGGTAGATACATTCCTTGGAGAGAACAATCATCGGAGAGAGAAGGGCTGTTTATGCACAGGGAGACAGTTCAGGGGGCATGGAGGGATGGACACAGGAAAGAGGTAACTATTGGGAAGAAGTGGGAGGGGAGGTGTTGCACTGGGGTAAACAGCCAATGTCATGAGTCAACCTGTGTGTGAACTGCTGTATAGAAAGTGAATTTGCTCTGTAAACTTTCACCCAAATCACAATTAAAAAAAAAAAAAAAAAAGTGTAACATGCACCTACCATATAACCCAGCAGTTCTACTCCTAGATTTACCCAAGAGAAATAAAAATATATTACACAAAAAGACTTATTAAAAAAAGAAAGAAAGAAAGAATTTGAGACTCTGTTCCACATTGCTCTCCCATTCAGTCAGGACCCATCTATCATGGACCTGATCTGATGGTCATTAGTGGTAGCCAGGCACCATCTAGTTCTTCTGATCTCAAGAGAGATGAGGACAAGCAGGAGTATTTTTAAAATGTTTGGGCTAACAAAAGGAGAGTAAAGTTGGTGGTTCAAACTCACTCAGTGGTGCCACAGAACAAAAGGCCTGGTGATCAGATTCTGTGCAGATCACATCCAGGAAAACCCTACAGAGCAGCTGTACTGTATAACACGTAGGGCAGCCATGAGGTGAGGGCTGACTTGACGGCAGTGAACAACAAAACAAGTTGTGTTTGTCATAATAAATCTCCTCCTTCAGACAGGCTTATCCATTTAAACCAACATTTGATGTTCCTTGGCAGAATTTCCTAGCACAGTTTTCAAAATACAGCTCCCACCAATTTTCATTATTACTGTTTTCCATTTTAGATTTTCAGAACACATGTGTGTATAAATTCATAACCAAATCAACTGCCATTGAGTTGGTTCCAGTTCATGGTTGTCCCATGTGAGTCAGAGCAGAATTGTGCTTCATAGGGTTTTCACGGCTGTAATCTTTATGGTAGCAGTTGTCACACCTTTCTTCTTGGACCCCCTGGGTGTGTTCAAACCATCAACCTTTCAGTTACCAGCTGAGCACATTAACTCTGTACCTGGGCATTAATTTCTTGTTAATGTCCTAGTCATCAGTCTCCTCCATTAGAATGAAAGCTTCATGGAGGAAATGGAAGCTCTATGAGTGACTAAATGTCCTGATTTCTGTGGGATTAGGGGGTTCCTAGGATGCAGGACTTTCTGTTTAAAATTGGAATGAGACGGTCACTCAACTGCCATGTGCCCAGCATGTGGGACTGGTGATGATGGACATGCTATAACAACAGGATGAATAAGAGATTTCATGGTAGTGTGGACCCTGGTACCAATCATTGACTGACTGTTGATCTTTCCCCTGCCACAGATGTGGATGAATGCCAGGACCGCATGCTGTGCCCATCCACGGCCACTTGCAACAACACTGTGGGCGGCTACTTTTGTGTCTGTAGACGTGGATTTGTGTCCACTAATGGGCGGGAGAAGTTTACTGGCAATGGAGCTACTTGCGTAGGTAAGCTGTTGCTGTTAGTTGTCCCTGAGTTGTTTACAACTCACAGAGACCTTATATACAACATTGTCCAGTCCTGCATCGTCCTCACAATGGCCACTACATTCAAGTCCATCTTTGTGGCTACTGTGCCAATCTGTCTCATTGAGGGTCTCCCTTGCCCTTGCTGGCCCTCTGCTTTACCATGACATCCTACTTCAGTGATCGATCCCTCCCGATGTGTCCAAAGCAAGAGTGTGGGACAGTGTTCTATTGTCATCTATAACATTCTCATTGCTCTCAGAAGTAGATCACCAAGTATTTCCTTCTAGTCTGTCTTAGTGTGGAAGCTGTGCAGAAACCTGTCCACACCATGGGAATCCTACTGGTATTTAAATATTGGTGGCATAGCTTCTAGCATAATAGCAACACACAAGCCACCACAGTAAGACAAGCTGACAAGTGGTATGTGTTGTTGTTGTTAGTTAGCTAGTTCCTACTCAGAGCAACCTTATCTCAACCTTATCTACAGCAGAACAAAATACCACCTGGTCCTGCATCATCCTCACAATCTTGGCTGTGCTTCACCCATCACTGCAGCCATGTGTCAATCCAACTCCTTGAGGGTCCTCCCCCTTTATGCTGACCCTCTACCTTACCAAGCATGATTTCCTTCTCCAGGGAATGGTCCCTTCTGACAACAAGACCAAAGTAGGTGAGACGAAGTGTGGCCATTCTCTCTTCTAAGGAGCATTCCAGCTGCACTTCGTCCAGGACTGATTTGTTTATTCTTCAGGCAGTCAATGCTACTACTTTCAGTATTCTTCACCAACACCATAATTCAAAGGCATCAACTCTTCTTCAGTCTTCCTTATTCATTGTCCAGCCTTCACATGCATATGAGTTAATTGCAAATACCATGGCTTGGGTTAGGTGCACCTTACTCTTAAAAGTAACATCTTTGCTCTTTAACACTTTAAAGAGATCCTTTGCAACAGATTTGCCCAATGCAATACTACATCTGATTTCTTGACTACTGCTTCCATGGCTGTTGATTGTGGATCCAAATGAAATGAAATCCCTGACAACTTCAATCTTTTCTCCATTTATCATGATGTTGTTGATTGGCCCAGTTGTGAGGTTTTTTGTTTTCTTTATGTTGAGGTGTAATCCACACTGGAGACTGTAGTCTTTGATCTTCATCAGTAAGTGCTTCAAGTCATCTACATTTTCGACCAAGCAATGTTGTGTCATCTGCATATCACAGATTGTTAATGATTCTTCCTCCAATCCTGATGCCACATTCTTCTTCATAGAGTCCAGCTCCTCAGACTATTTGCTCAGCATACACATTGAATAAATATAGTTAAAGGATACAACCCTGACACACACCCTTCCTGATTTTGAACCATGCAGTGCCCCCTTGTTCTGTTTGAATGACAGCCTCCTTGTCTATGTACAGGTTCTTCATAAGCACAATCAAGTGTTCTGGAATTCCCATTCTTCTCAATATTATCCACAATTTGTTATGATCCACACAGTCAGCTGCCTTGCATGGTCAATAAAACATGGCTAAACATCTTTCTAGTATTCTTTGCTTTCAGCCAAGATCCATCGGACATCAGCAATGATATCCCTCATCCAATGTCCTCTTCTGAATCTAGCTTGAATTTTAGAAAGCTCCCTGCTGCAACCGTTTTTTGGGTTATCTTCAGCAAAATTTTACTTTCATGTGATGTTAATGATATTGTTTGATAATTTCCATATTCTGTTGGATCACCTTTCTTTGGAATGGGCACAAAAATCATCTCTTCCACTTGCTTGGCCAGGTAGCTATCTTTCAAATTTCTTGTCATAAACAAGTGAGCACCTCCAGTGCTACATCTGTTTGCTGAAACATCTCAATGGGCACACTTTCTAGTCTTGTCTTCCAAATACCTTAAAAGTCAATACTGTGTGTTGAATGTTGTGTCACTCTTTAGAATCTAAGCTATCCCTTATCAATAAGTGTTCTAAACACAAGCAGACCAGTTACTGTTGCATGGCTTGCAGCTCAAGGTGACCCCATGTGTGCAGAGTAGAACTGCTCCATGGAGTTTTCAAGGCTGTGACCTTTCAGAAGCAGATTGCCAGGCCTTTCTTCTGAGGTGCCTCTGGCTGTGTTCAAACCATCAACCTTTGAGTTAGTAGCTAAGTATTTAACCAGTTATACCACCCAGGAACCCCACATACTGCCTATATGATCTTATTTTCATCTGCAGCAAACTTGTGTCATCTCCTCTAGCTCTCTTTTCCCTCCTGGTTACTCCTGAATTCTTTATTGGCCTGGCCCATCAAACTTGGAGGCACAATTCCCAGTAACAGTGATGCTCCAGTGGATGTGGGGCAGTTGGCTGAGGCGTCTGAGTTTATAATTGATGGCCACTCTCTTTTTGCCCTCCCAGATATCAATGAATGCCTCATCCCTGGGTCCTGTCCTAAGCACACCAAGTGTCGTAATACCCCGGGAAGTTACAGATGCACCAAGAAACAAGGCTTCTCTTCCAACAGCTCCCAAAGTGAAGGTAATGCCCACATTCCTTGGCCTGTGGTCCCTTCCTCCATGTTCAAATTCAGCAGTGTGTCATCTTCCAGTCTCTGAATCTGACCCCCTGCCTCCATTTAGAAGGACCCTGTGATGACCTTGGGCCCACCTTGGTCATCCAGGATCATGTCCCACTTCAAGTCCTTAACATCTACAAAATTCCCTGTGCCATGTAAGGTACCATATTCACTGAAAGTGGGGATTAGGACATGGACCTCTTTAGGGGGCATTCTTCTGCCTACCACACCTTCCCACCTTTCCTACCAGCTAAAACAACTTTAACAATGTTCTGACTTCAACCCCTAGTAAATGCAGCCAACATGCACTTGGCTTATGGCTCCCTCCTCCATATTTAAAATCAGCAACATCGCATCTCTCTGTTCATTCTTCCATAGTCACATCTCTCTCTGATAAGTACCAGCCAGGGTTATACACTTTAAAGAGTCTGGTGCAACCAGTGAACATGCTTGGCTGCTAAAAGGTTGGTGGTTGGAGTCCACTCAGAGGTGCCTCACAAGAAAGACCTGGCGAATTACTCATGAAAAATCAGCTGCTGAAAACCCTGTGGAGCACAGCTCCACTCTGACACACACAGGGTTGTTGTGAATCTGAGTTTACAGCAACTGGTGTTCTGGTGATTACTTTGGGCCCACCTGGGTAACTCAAGACACTCTCCCAGGTCAAGATTTTTAACCACACCTACAAAGTCCCTTCTGTCATGTAAGGTGACATCTCAGATTCTCAACCTCAACCTCACTGCCGTCAAGTCAGATCCGACTCATAGCAACCCCTCCTTGGGATTCCGAGACAGTGTCTCTACAGAAGTAGATTGCCCACTCTACAGACTCTAGGGGTTCAAAATATTGCAATATCTTACTTCCAACCCCAAAAGTTCATATATCCAAATGATCCTTTTACCCAATTTTAATTCATTTTAATTTTCTCACTGGGGATTAGAATGTGGACCTCTTTACCAAACCTATTTCTGTCAAGTTGATTAGAACTCATAGTGACCCTATAGTATGGAGTAGAACTGCCCCCATAGGGTTTCCAAGGCTGTAATCTTTTCAGAACCACATCTTTCTCCAGTGAAGCAGCTGGTGGGTTTGAACCACTGACATTTTGGTTAGAAGCTGAGTACTTAACCACTGTGCCACCAAGGTTCCTGTGACATCTTTGAGGAATCATTATTCTCCCAGCCACAATTTGATAAAAACAAGAATCACGTTTTTTTTTTTTTTTTTTAACTTTCCATTGAACTCTGAAACTTCCCACAATGTTTTCAGCCTTGTTAAATAGTCCCTGGGTGGCACAGATGGTTAAGTGCTTGACTACTAGCCAACAGGTTGGTGGTTCAAACCCACCCAGTGGTGCCAGAGAAGAAAGGCCTGGCAATCTGCTTAGCATTGACAACCCTATGGATCAGTTCTACTCTTCAGGAGTCAAAATCAACTTGACAGAAACCACCAACATCCTCACTTCTCTGGGGAAATCCAAAGGGACTGAGAACTAGAGTCTGGGGTCCCTCACTGCAAGCATCAGTGGCTGAGAAGCACAAACCCCACTTGGAAAGAAAGGTAGGAAAGGAGTTAGGGAGAGTTTTCCATTTTTTTCAGGTAAAGCCAGAATTTCAGACCTTGCAGAAAACCTTTTTTCCTAAATGTCGCTCATTCTGTTTACAGAAACCAACTCTAATTTCTCAGCCTGGAGCAAATTTCTAACAGTCTGCAAACAGCAGGTGCGTTCTCATATGTATACGTGTGTGTGTGATGTGCAGGACTGGTGTGTGGAAGGGACACCAGCATTACCAAGAAATATTATGGTAGTGATGAGCCTTAAAAAACAAAACACAACACTGAGGCACTGGTGTATCTGAATTGAGTGCCATCAAACTTAATTTAAAACTATATTTTGAATTAAGCTCAGATTTCCATGTCTACTTTTCTAAAGAAATCATTCAGCCTTTTTGTCAAAGTTTTAGTGTTTGAAAAAAAGGCAAAAGTCAGACTTTGTAACGTCAATAAAGGGTTATCTGGTATCTGTGTAGCTGGCCCCAGAGAGGCACTTCAGTCAGAGGGAAGATGAGAAGTAGAACTGATAACGTTCCATGAAGTTGTTGTTGTTGTTGTTGTTGTTAAGTGCCAGCGAGTCAGCTCCAACTCATAGTGACCCTATGCCCAACAGAATAAAACACTGCCCTCTCCTGTGTCGGACTCACAATCCTTGCTGTACCTGAGCCCATCATTGCAGCCACTGTGTCCATCCATCTCGGTGAGGGCCTTCCCCTTTTTCACTGACCCTTCACTTTACCAAGCATGACATCCTTCTCCAGGGAATGGTCCCTTCTGACAACATGACCAAAATAGGTGAGACTAAGTCTGGACACTCTTGCCTCATGAATGTTAGACCTTGTGAATAACTTTGTAGCTAAAATAGGTACACATTAGGTCTTAGCTCACATCCTCACTCCCAAACTACAATTTTACTCTCTGGGACTTTCTGGTGTGTTTCTGTTAGCCCTCTGGAAGTTTAACTAAAGTAGAAACTAAGTTTGTTAGGATAAAAAGACTGATTCTAGATGTACAGGAAATTATCCCCTCACTACTTTTGTAGTGATACTGCCTCGGAAACCCAAGGAGGGGTCGCTATGAGTCGGGCCCACTTGACGGCACATAACAACAACAAGAATATGTTGTTCAACAACTCTCAGTGTGTGAATCCTTAGAATGAACAAGTAAGCTTACTGATAGTATTTAAGTTTGTGGTCCAAGGAATCCTTTGTAACTTTTGTCATGTTTCCGCCTCCTCCCCTTGGTACCTGTAAGTACAAATCCTTTTGTTCACTAAGCCTTTTAAAACCCTCACTGTTCTCCCTCCATTAAACATCTCCTGTGTGTGTCTGTAAATGTCTCCCCATTTTGAAACGACTATTCTTTCAATTAATTTTTATTTTAATTTCTAGCACAGCATCTGTCTAGTTTTTTCCACTAAGCACTCCCTAGACTGGATATGCCTAAATAGAAATCAATGGCTCAAACTGCACCTGAACAAAACAAAGGTTCCACCCTGTCCCCCAAGCACACACAAAGCAAATGATCCCTGTTCTTGCTTCTTGTTCTTGTCATGGGCCATTGAGTGGGCTCCGACTCATAGTGACCCAGTGTACAACAGAATGAAACACTGCGGCCCCTATGTCAGCCTCACAATCCTTGCTGTGGGGGGCGGAGGGGAGAACAAGTAGTTTCCTGATCATTAAAATTTTCCATCCTCTCATAATTTGCATACTTCCTTGATTACTTCAATTTTGAGCAATGAGATACTATTTGAGTAATATATCCTAGCCATGAAGTGGCCGGACTGACAGGTTTTCTCTCCCACAGAGCAGCTGGTGAGTTCAAACTGGCAGCCTTTAAGTCAGCAGCCAAGTCCTTAACCACTGCGCCACCAGAGCTCCTTAAACGGATGCCAGTTGTCTCCAAACAAAATATTGAACTTTATTTACATCATGTGTCCGCTTATGTGTGTTCTAAGTGTCTTTGCTTTTTATGTCAAACTCCAATTGTTGTTGGATGCTGTTGAGTCGATTCCTACTTGTATAGACCCCACGTGACAGAGCAGAACTCCGCACAGGGTTTCCTAGGCTGTACCCTTTATGGAAGCAGACCGCCACTGGTGGGTTTGACCACTGACCTTCTGCGTAGAAGCCGAGTGCTTACCCATCACGTCACCAAAGCTCCTACAAATTGAATAAATGTGTCTAGTTTCGCTGCCTTGCTTTCAGATATGTGCAAGAGTATTTGTCTGTCAGGACTAACTATTTTAGAAAATTTTTATAAATTCAATGCCACCTCTGGATGTCTTTACCTGTTGCTGTTGAGAAGATCCTGACTCATGGCGACCCATGTGTGTCAGAGTACAGCTGCACTCCATAAGGTTTTCACTGGCTGTGATCCTATGTAAATAGGTCTTTCTTCCATGCGCCAGTGGGTGGACTTGAACCTCCAACCTTTTGGTTAGCAGCCAAGTGCACTAACTGTTTGCACCACCCAGAAAAGCCCTATGGAGCTCAGTTCTGGTCTGTAACATACAGAGTCACCATACATTGAATCAACTCAATGACAACAGGGCTCTTGGTGCCTTTAGCCTGGTGAGAAGTGATTAAATCATGTTTATGCTCCTTGTTGACCCACCAAGGATCAGGACAGAAGCAAGATGATTTGCTCTGCTTTCACGAAGCTGATGCCTGGATTTCAACATGGAAATTCCACGCCTCCTTTAAAGGTTTGAAATCCTTTCCCATTTTTGTTGATGTTTTCCCATGTTAGCTGATTTTCCATCTTTTCCCTCCCAGCATCCCCTCTGATGTTGTTGTGTTGGTGGTAGTTGCCATCAAGTTGGCCCCCAACTCAGGGTAACCCCATGTACGACAGAACGGAGTGCTGTCCAGTCCTGCACCACTCCTATGATCCCACATTGTTGGGATCCATTGGGATTTCAGGGGCTGAATTTCAGAAGTCAATTGCCAGACCTTCTTTCCTAGCCCATCTGAATCTGGAAGCTCCCGTGAAACCTGTTCATTTCATAGCAGTGCACCAGCCTCCACCAATAGGCATGTGGTAGCTATGTGTCAGGTGCATCAGCTGGGATTCAAACCCGGGTCTTCCACATGAAAAGTGAGAATTCTACCACAGAACCACCACTGCCTCCAACATCTGAAGAATGGGACAAGTTCTTTCTCCTCTCTATTACCACCTCCAGTCCTTGGAGAAGAACATCATGCCTTGTAAAGTAGAGAGTGAAGAAGAAGACCCTCGATGAGATGGATTGACGTGACGGGTTGAAGCACAGGAACAAGTGTGAGAATGGTGCAAGGCTGGGCAGTGTTTTATTCTGCTGCATATAAGGCCCGTGAGTGGGGACCAAGTTGGCAGCACCCAACAACAATAACATTACCACCTCAGCATAACTGCAAACCCCACA